TTATAGTATGTTAAATCCTAAAACCCCAACCCATATTTCCCTCCTTCGACAGAAGTCGTAATCGGTAAAAAACTAATGCCATCTATTAGGAAAATAGTGAATTAAGTGTCTTAAAGTTGAAACGAACTGAGCTCGGGCTTCACAAAAGAGAAACGTTAATTTTTCTCTTGCCCGAAATCAGTTCGTGCATCACAAAAAATGCACATTGTAGGCGACGCTGGCAAAGAGCTAAATTCAAGTAACGATCGATGTATTTAAACTTTTTTCCTTCTTTTAAAACGTTTTTCAATTTTTAAAGACATGTGCTTTTAATAGAGCTTTGTTTCATAATCGGGTGGTAACTGAATTAATTTTTATACTTTTTGTGAGCGTGTAGTTATAATATCGCTCAAATTTCATGTAAACACAAGCTACCACATTATCTAATTCTTAAATTTGATTACATGTTGCTATGGTTCAACTAGAACTGAAAATTTGTTCAATTTAACATCTTATTAAGGTTGCAGTAAATTTGCACCACATTATCTTTCAAAATTAAGGTAAATTTGTTAAAATTAAAAACAGGTTTTTGAGAATTAATATTACTGAAAAAATTACTAATAAAAGTTTATGGTAAAAATGAATTATGCGATAAAATGGATTTTACGTTTGATATAACCAAATTATGCGAAAAATTATACCGAACAATGAAATGGAAACAAATAAATGATCATTGTAGTTGACTAATTAACTAAATAAAATTAATATCCGATAAATTTACTATTATATGATATAATTAAATGATAAATATATTAACATTTTGATATTGCTGACCTACATACTTTTCTTTGGCACTCTAAAGTTTTTACTTCACATAATCTAAATTAATTTTTAATAAAATAGGTTTTAACCACTTGTAACTAAAATTTTTTTAGCAAAAATAAATAATCTATTCACAGAAAAATGAAAAAAACGAATTTTGTAAAAATTATTTTCTATAAGTACTTTAGTACTTTTATCATCAGTTCGATATTAGATTTTTTAAAGTTTTTAATCACTAATTAAGCACTTTAAAAGGTAAATTTATATTTAATGATGCAAAGTTATGTTTATGAGCTACGCGTTAAGTGAGTTTGTTTTATACAATGTAAAAAATATCTGATTGAAATACCGTTAAAAATTATCGATACTTTGATTTACGGTACTTCTTACAGAAAAATCCATTTTTACTGTAAAATTTTACGGGACAAAGAATATGATATACCGAAACTTTTACAGTAGTGTTTACTATAAGATATTCGAATCACTGTAATTAAATTAATATAATTGAAAAAATTACTAATAAAAGTTTATGGTAAAAATGAATTATGCGATAAAATGGATTTTACGTTTGATATACCCAGTACTTTTTGCCTTAAATTTATTTGGAATTTTTTACAGTGCACTCAGATAAGAAAAAAATGACAAAGGCAGGATAAATTTTAGGGATTTCATACTTATTAATAAATTGTAAAGCGGGGTACGTTGAAATGTTTATTTATGGTAAAATAGTTCCGACGCTACTATAATTCAAAGTATAGTTTCAGTACAACATAAACGTTTCAAGTAACCTTCTCCGAAAAATTATTCAGATGTACAACTTTCAACTTCCTTGTTATTCGTTTTTTCTGAATGTGTGCTGGAAAAATCAAGCAAAACCCTCTTTTTTAAACAAGCTTTGTCTAAAAAGTGGGGAAAATACCAAGAAGAAGAGTCTGTTTTCTTCTCTTGTAATCTCAGTTTCGGGAAAAGTGGGAGCAAGGGATGGGGGCAGGATTACCTGGAAAGCAGGCCAGTACCATCGCAGCGCAGTTTTTTCTTGAACTGATCGTAAAGTGAAGAACCTAGCTTTATTTAGATCCATTAATTTTACACAGGGTTGGACGAAACAGCCTGCTGTATCGGATTTCTTTTACAGAAGGGAAGATATAGTTTGTTTTTTTCCTTTGTCTCCTCTATTTGTGGATCCGTTGTCTGTGATTTTTTAAATTTTTTCTTCCTTTTTGTAGTTAAAGCCTTCTTTCCTCTGAAGAGCCCTGGTTTTTTTATTTTATTTAAAAAAGATATAGTAGAAAAGGATTCGGAATTAAAAGAAAAAAAAAAAGGAGATACTTTTCATCTTTCAGTCTTAAGCCGTAGAATGTAGTTTTGTAGTTGATAACGAACTTGTTTTTTGTACTATTAGATTCGGGAATAGGTATCATTTTTAAGTTAATCTAATTATTTTTAAGGGGATTAACTTTATTAATAGTCATATAATTTAGTATGCGAAAATTATGCATGATTGTTGATTTAGAAAAAAAAAACACCATTGGTTATTCTTATGGCTATTTTAGATAAAATATAATGCTACAGTTCTTAAACCGTTTATTTTAAATAAAGTTTTTGTTCTAAAAAGCAGTAATTTGTATCTTGTACTTAAAATGGATGATGCAATGTAAAAAAAAATATTTTTGAACTTTTCATTAAACGTTTAAAACTTATACAATTCTTCTAAACATAGCCTTCTAAACATCTATTTTTTATTTTAGAATTTTTTGAATACTTTTTTCAAACTCTTTGGATAAACCTATTCTTTGAGATTTGCTTCATAACGCGAACATGAAAGAAATATTTTAACTGAATTCAATAATTGATTGACTTTTTTCTAGACTGGAAAAAATCCTTTTGTCTATCCGAAGTTTTAAAACTATGCAAACTTTATTGTTAAATAATGTAAATAATTCTTAATTTTAAGAATTTTAAAATTATTCTTTGAAATTTTCTTTTAACTGAACATGTTCAATAACGTGAACACAAAAAGAATATTTTACATGAATTTATAATTCTTCTGATTTTTAAGATACTGTAGAATACTTTTGTATAGTATGATACTTTTTAGAAATTTTTTAGTTAATGTTTGCGAAATACTACATACGGAAAAAAATCTGATAAAATTACCGTACTGTATTACCGCACATTTTTTTGAGCTTTTTAATGTTGACTTGTAAACTTCTTAAACGACTAGTTCGCTCTAAAATAAGTGAAATAAGAGATAAAAGGGCGTGAATTTTCCTTCTCGCCATTTTTCATTTACAGTGAAGATAAACAAAAAAAAAAAGGTTTGACTAAAAACAAGCTGCGAGAAATTAAATGATCTGCCAATGTTCTCGGAGTTCACGTTTCACACGCGAATCCCCGAAAAATCCCTAAACTATAATTCTCTAGTAAAAGAAAAGCTTCTCTAAACGTAGTAGAAAAACTGGGGTTGCCACTTTTGGGATGAATGCCAGTTTGTTTCATCTGTTAACACGCCAACTAAACATCATTTTTTAAGATCATATTAATAAAGACACAACACTGATTTCGTAATGAAAGCTTCTACGGCTTATAGCATGCTAATTTTGCTCTTTAGAGTAATTTGCCTCTAATTTTGCAATAAATATTTTTTTTCTTTCGAAAAAGCAATAATATGTAAAAATTATTGTAGAGATTTTAAAACAGAATTTTTTTTAAACTGTCAATCGTGAGTACGCATGATATCGAAAAGAAAATTTTTAGAGTTTTGAGAACTATGTATTTGTGATTTATTTTTAGACTGGAACATGAAAATTAAAATGGAACGCAATTTAATTGATTTTAATTGTATTTTTTTCTCACAGAATTCAGCAAAAATTTTCGAATTTTAACCTGTTTCATCACAAGATTTTTGGTTTGCATGTAAAGAGCGAAAAATCCATGGTATTTTGTTTTAATTTTTTGAACAGGGATTTATATTAAAAATGCAACAATGCTAAACTCTCGTAAAGGGATCGTCTTTTCTGTAAGGGTATTATTTAACTTTACATTATTAACTTAACACTATTTAACTTTACACTTTAGTTATTAACTTTAACATTTTAATCTATATTTTATAAATATTTAGGAGGTTTATTACTGGTCAAGTACTGAACTTTAGAGAAACAATTTTTCTTTCTGTTTAGGAATGATTAGTAAAAAAAACAGAAAAAAAATCTTAGTTCATACACAAAAATGGTAATAAACTTTCATTTCTTTCATAAGGAAATCAAACTTTAAAATTTATTTGCTTCAAAAATATCAGAAACGCAATTAAAAAAAATATAAATATGTAGCGAAGAACCTAAGTTTACGAATCTCATTTGCTTTTAATTTAATGGCTTAACTTAACAACAAAGATCTCTCACAAATATTGTATTTTAAAAAAAGGGTATGTAGCTGGCAAAAAAAAAAACAGGGAGTAATAAGACCAAGGTGTACCAAAGAGAAAAAAAAAACAATAGACTTTCGATTTTTGGCTCTAACTTTTGATTGGTTATAAAAAAAGCTACTTGGTTGATCATAAAAAAAGCTACTTGATTGTATTAAACTTAAAAAAAGCAACTGCTTTCTTTTCATTTTTAATTAAGTTTTACAATTATTTCTAATTATTATATACTAATATTTTCTTTAATTTTTTTTAGCATATTAGGTGGTAGTATATAAAATAAAGGCATATATCCTAATATATATGCATACTACTAACTAAGTAATGAATTAAATATACCTTAGTGCGAAATATATAATGAAAAAATGAGCTTTAATAAATATATGAAGATAAGAAAGCAATAAATAAATAAATAAATAAAAATTGTGATGAATCGCCGAATGTAGCACCCTTTTGTCATGGAAATCCCTATTACGTATATCTTAACCCGGGCATTTTGCCAGACTATTTGACCGATGACACTTGCCCCAATTTTCCCGCCATCAGGAACAAAAAGACTTTCTTTGACCTGTCATTCAAATGCTTTAGACTTAACATCTAAATTTGAAACGTTTTGTGGTCGCACGCTGATAAATATATGAAAGATAAACTAATATATTATTTGTTTATTGAAATACATCCAATGTAATAAAAAATTAAACAACGGAAAAGGATATTTTCGATAATTTGTACAGCAATATTAAATTAAAAATATACACTTATATGAATAATACTATACCTGAGTTATATTTTGGTAATTCTACGGTTGACATTGATATATTTTCAAGCCTAAAAAAAAAGAGATTTCAAATTAGTTTAAGAGCAAAATTGCAAATAAAATTATTTCATTTACAGTTATCAGTTAACTCAACGATAGACTATATGATTTTGAAGTGTTAAAATAAACTACATTAAAATTTCATGGATTATATAAGTTTTAAATGCAATTTCAACTAACTATATATGTGAAATATTTTCCTCTTCTAAAAGCCATCATCTAAAAAAGAATGTTACCTACTCTAAAAGCATATTATTTTTGCTGAATGTCAGTTGATTTTATTAGAAATATTTGTTCGGGCGTCTGTTAATTTAGTTCTTAATCTACTCCCCACTGTTGTTCCTAATTAGTTTCTTTTAGGTAGTAGCGCTATCTTTTGACAAACGCTCTAACTAAATTTGAAACTAGGAGAACAAATAACGTGACATCTTTAGCAGAGCAAATCTTATTGTCCAGTGCCAATAATAGTAATAATAATAAAAACAAACTACACTGAATAGCTTTAGATCTAATGCTCGTATTTTCACATTCTAGGACTCAATTTAAATGTTTTTTTTTATCGCGGGGGGCGGGCGATCTCAATTATGCTAATTGGTAGGGCCGACGATATTTTAAGTTAAAAATCAGACACAAAACGTATTTTTAAGCTGATTTCTGACCCTCTCTATATAGTCGCAATTTGGGAAATATGGTCCCAATAGTTTGGTCAGGAGTTTTTTGTGTGATTCGCCATATCTCAAGAATTTTTTTAAGCGATTTGGAAAATATTTGCACACAGAATATAAAATTCACTTAGTGACAGATAATGCCATGCAAGAAAAAATTTAAAGTAACTATTTATACTTTTATTTAATAATAGTTGAAAACTTTTGAATTGTAAGGTATACAATATTTCACATCATTTTAAACAATGCCGTTTTTAATGGAAAAGTTCAAAATTTGAGCAAAAACGATAGAATAATTGCTGAGTAATTGAATTTTAAAAAATTTTGTATTTTTAAAATTCGATTTCACAGGAACTAATCGACCAATATTACTAAAACTTTGCATTTTTTGATAGAAAATTTATCTTTCATTTGGAACTCATTCTTCTTCAGTTTCTTCGGCATAATTTAAAAACTAATATCCAACAATAAAGTTTTGAAATGAAACTTCAATGCTTTATTGTACTACAACCTGATTTTTCTAAATTAGCAAAATAGATTAGTTTCGATTCCTTTATTTCACATGAAATATAAATAAAAAATCTGATGTAGTTGCAAATTCATCAATGATATTCAACACTAATAATTTAGATTTTTATTACGTTCAAAATTAAAGAAATTTTTGAATGAAACCTATGCATTAAATACCCAGAAGAAATTTAATAGTACAAAAATAAATAAGAAATGAAGCTAGGGGAAGAATTAATTAATCTTTTATTGAGTATATAAGCTCCTGAAAAAGAAAAGAAAATCAAATCTCTTGCGTACTGAGTTAAAAAGAAACTACTTAATCTCAGATTCTTAAGAAACATTTGATTAAAACTAAAATTTAAATCTTTTGTTCTTACATTATTAAAAAAATTAAAATAATCATTAATGCTCGGCTCAAACAATGACTTAAAATATTTCATTACTTTTTAAATTGGAAATGATCTGAAATAATGAAAAATACATTCTTAGTTTTTAATATTTAATTTCGATTTATAATGGGAAAAAATACAAATCACTGAGAGGAGTTACTATTTTCGTTTCAAACTGCTTAAAAATTATATTGTAGAGTTGAAGCCATGAATTGATACTCCGAATGTAGGTGTTTATTTTAATTTGAAAACTTAAATCTTTAAAAAACTACTCTCAAATTTCAAATTCATTTACAACTTAAAATTTTTGTACAAATACACAATAAATGACAATGCATATATGTTTGTATTAGCTTAATGAAATATAATTATCTGAATGAAGTTAGACTTTAATACGTTTTTACGTATATTTTATTTATTTGAATGTAATATTTAATATTTATTTCGAAACATTGTGCTAATGTTAAAAATTCTCTTATAATTTCGTACTAATCTTAAAAACACATTAAAAGTTTTTTTTTTATATATTACGGCTAAAATTTTAAAAATAAATTTCCGTTAAACGTTTGTAGGTATAACAGTTTTCCTGGGAAATTTTAAAACTGGTTTGATATAAAAATTGTGCCTTTATGTTCACAAAATTTTTATGCATGGTAGATAATAGATAGCGAAATTCTACTCTGCAAATTTTTGCATTATGCATGGTTTATATTTGAGTAAACATTTATTACTGATACAATAAAGAGATTTCATAAGAAATAAGCCTATTTTTGTTCTAAATTATGTTTTCCCAAAAGTCTGTTACAGAAATAAGTGCTTTACAATTGAATACTCAAACGATTTCTATCTCATCTATTCTTAACTCTTCAATATTTATTCAGCAAAAGAAATTTAAATCGCCATTCGACATTTACTTTTTTAAAAAATAAGCTTAAAATTCCATTATACGCTTTTTGAAGTAAACATTTTTTTTTATTTTATATTCTCGCCTCAATTCAAATTTTAAATTCCCCGTCGGTTTGGAAAAGTTGACTTTTTACCCGATTCAACAACAATAGAAGTTTGAATGTGCCCAAATCTATGCAAAAAGAGCGTCTGAATAAAAGAAATAGAACATTCTTCAGGTAGTATAATTTTAAGCTAATCAATTCTTACTCTAAAAGAAAAAAAAATATATTGAGTACATTTACATGGATATTGGCTAATATATACATTCACTTAAGGAAAAATCGCGCCAACAAAGGAAAAAAGGAGCCTTCTCCGAACTACAAGTATTCTGGATTCATTCTAATTGTATTCAACTCCTGGAATTTGCTTTAATTAAGGTTGGGTATGGAAAGCAAATCCTCCCGGAGTCTTTGCATGGGCGCCATTGTTAAAAGTGTGGCGCCCCAATATTGCGTTAAGTATATGCGAAGGACCGGAGAGCATTTATATGCTAATTCTCAATATGTCGCCACATTTCTGGCAGCCAAGAAAATTTTCCTTAAGTTTTCCGGCTTATGAGATTAACGCAGTTCGCTTCCCACCCCCCTTGTAGCCATTCTCGAAAAATATATCAAAATATTTATCAGGCACTTATAAAGGTTTGTGGAAAATGCGCAATTTTTCCCTCCGGATTTAAGCTGTGCTGGATTTAAAAGGATTTTTCATCGTTAATTTTCATCGGAGAATGTATGTTTTCCAATCTGAGTTAATCTTTCTAAGCGGTGTACTATAGCGGCATACGTTTCAATCAAAAGAGTTTCCATGCAAGCGTTTTTATTTCTTTTAATTTTTATTCATCTTCTGCGGTTCTCAAAGTTTTAAAATCCAATAAATTTTTGCGAATGTTTTTGACGTAAGGATTTAGCCTATGGACTATTTATCAAACTTATAAATGGCATTAGTAAATCGTCCGGCATTTTTGGAAATATTGATGATTTACTTATGCTAATAAATATGTCTTCATTTTTTAACACTTGATCTGTTTTTAAGCCCCATATTTTAAATTTACCGAAATGGATACTTCTATTTTAAATTCCTTTATATTTATCAATAAGGATATAAATATTTATAGAATTTGATAAGTAAAATATTGAAGAAACAGTTAATCTAATTACAGGTTTTTTAATAATTATATTTTTAATGTATAAAACACATAAAACAATTTCATAAAGATAATAATGAGTAGTATGAAAGTATGAATTATTTACCATGTTTTATTATTACCACATTTATTTCTACACACATTAAATTTGATATTGAACCACATTTACCCCGTAAAATTATAAGCTTGCATATTGTTTATACGATCTATATAGTTTTAGGAGGGGAATATCGATCGCTGATCAGTACCACAGAAACAGGGATATATAGAAAATTTCCTTCCCCCTTCAGATCCATGTCTAAACTGATGAAGTTGCCTCACGAATGAGTGGTTCTGCAATCTATCCATGAGGTTTTGAGACAACGAAAAGCACTAATTCTTGACTTAATTCACAAGGCTAATGACTGGTGAGCTTATTTTGTCCAAGTGTCATCAGAAACAGGAGAGAGATATTTTTTGAAAGCATATACTATATAGAAAACAAAACCAGTTTCTCTAAATTTGTTTCCACTGAGCCATGGTGGCTCAACTGATAGAGCACTTGCCTCTCCCGGGTTCGCTTCCCAGCGATAGCTGGTCGTTACGAATTCCAAACCCACCTAACAACGACCGCAGTTCTAATGAAAAATATCCTCAGTGGTAGACGGATCATGGGTTAGAATTCCCTTACCATCAGGTTGACCGTAGGAGCGTTTCGTGATTTTCCAGTACATGTAACACAAATGCGGGTTAGTTCAATAAAAAAGTCCTCCACGAATGCGAATTTCTCATAATACTTGAGCCAGGAGTTACCTTGTATTGTTTAAAATTTCTAGGCTACGGAGTTGAACATTAGTAGTCGTAAACTCAAAATTAAGTCAGCTGTACAAGGACGGTTATACAATATAACCGTACACTTAATAAATTTTTTTTCTTTAACATACAACAAGCATTTTCCTTTCCTTACAAGAGTTTCACTTTATATTTAGAAAAACAAAATGTTTTTGATAGGAAATTATCCTAAAAGAATAATCCTTAATTAGCATTTAAGATAAATATCTATTTTAAGATCTATAAATAACAAATTATTATTGAAAGCTGTAACCCCCAGAAATTTCTTTTTCGGGGAAGAAAAGAAAGTTAAGTTAGAGGCCGCCTCAACTGCCATTAACTGGGGCTGAGCAAGGCTGCTCACGTCCTCTTCTATTCGCGCTCGTGCGTCCAAGACTCAGTCATCCAGAGCATTTCAATTACTCTTAAATCCCTACCAAACTTTCACTAGCCTAGGGATTTTTTTATTATATTCCCTTTCACTTTTTTCACCCCAAAACCCCGTTCTAAGTAGAAAAAAAAAGCAGGGAAGTGTTGCAAATGGTGGG